CTCAAATGAACGATGGTGTATGAATGAACAGTGAGGATAAAATTGAGTTATGATCGACTCTGGTGGCTCAGTGAAATACAACGATAATTGTGAAGGGTAATAACTTGGAAACAAGTAAAAACATAGATTACATTGGAGTTTGACTAATCCATTTTAATGGAGTCTTTTTAGTCATTGAGAGTTTTTTATTGCTTGAGAGAAGAAGATTGGTTACAATTGGTTGGTTGGTTGTTTATGAGGGCATGCCTCTGGTATTTATACTTACGAGCCAGGTGGTTCTCTTACACAATCATTACATGATTTTCAAGTTTGTTAGGATTTTATTAAGAGAATATTTTATGGTTAGAGACTATATTTCCTAGACATAATGTAGCCGTTTAGAACATGTTGAGGTGATACTGGAATTTGTGTTCAAGCATAGATATATTATTGTCTTCCATATCTTGCAAAAGATCATGCTAGGAGGTTATTCAGTTTGGAATGACCTCTTATACCTTTTGCAACTCGTGAATAAAAGAGTTTGATCCAAATACTTAACCTGAATTAAGAATGAAAATTCTACTTGTGATATAAGATGGACAATCGACTTGTTTGTATTTGATGTTGTACCTTGACACTTCCTCCTCTTGAGGCTGGATGTGCAACTGGAAGTCAAAAAACATACTTTGATCATTGTTCTTTTCATAAATTAGGTAAATATCCTCCTCCTTATTCTTGATATTATTTTTGGGTATCATCACTATCATAACTATAATCACTCTGCGGTGGAACACATTCGAAACTTCAAATTAAACACCACAAACCAATCCCCCAATGAGAAAGTAGCGAGATGAGGTGGGAACATAGAATGGTAGGGTATAGAATAAGAGTTGCGTGGCCAATTAAAAGAGATTGCACGTCTTGAGAATGTGATGATAATTATATTCTCTTGACATTTTTTTTTGGACTTGACAAAAATGGTCCCGATTAGCTGCAAGTACGGTTAGGCATGTGTTGAATAAAGCTCCCTCCACTTTTTCTCCGCTTTTTTGCTTTCTTCACTTTTCACCATATTTTCATTTTTGGAAAAATACGAGAGAAACCTAGTTTTGGCACCGGAGGGTTAAAAGGGATTTTTATGATTGAAGTATCTACGGCAACAGGGTTTGAGTCCTAACCATTGGAGCTTGTTTAGATGTTTATTTTTTGGGAGGTTTAGATTAAATTTATAAAACTTTCTCAAATTTAGTCCTAAGGATTTGCATGTGATATTAAAAAAAATTAATCTCAAATTTGGTATGTGACACAAATACATGATATTGTTCAATTTACTAAAATGTCTATTATTAGGTCAATAAAAGAATATTTTTTTGGGGTAAAATAGTATTTTCATAAATAAATCCAACTCTTCCTTTTGAAACCCACTCACCCTCTCATGGGTTTCATCAAACTTTCATTTGTGAGTTTTAATCAATTATTCACTACAAATTGATTACAGGTCGGGATTCATTTTCCTCATCAATTCTAAGCCTCAAAACTTAAACCAAATACAAGTTTAAAATCTGTATTGGACTATTTTCATAAAATTCATCCTTTAAATCTCATCTAAACTCATATACCAAATATGCTCTTAAAGTAGATCATCCCAATTTTATTATTTTTCTTTATCAAAATTAAATTTTATTTTCAATCAAAAGACTTTGGGCCCCAATTTTGGCGATTAAACCTTATGATCTCTTTTGCAATCCTTTTCCCTCGCATTTAATATTTTATGTTGTGATTTGATGGTGAGTGATAATAATGATAGTAAGAGTCGTGATGATTTTATTGTGGGTTTGTATGCTTGAGTGTGACAAACGGAAAAAAGAACAAAAAAGGATGAGGAGGGATTGTTAGTCTATTATATTAATTTGGTTATATTGATTTTTTTTTTTTGGTTAGACATAATTATTATAAGAAAAAGGGATGACAAAATTTTAATTCATAACCTTAACCAACAACGCGGGTTTTATATTGTTATTTTTTTTACTTAGTTTGGCTGGGGAATGAATGACATATCAAACTCTTATTAAACATTTGCAGAAAGTCTTGTCCTTGGAACTTCGTAGGTATTGAAGGGTTCATGTGTTAATATGAAAATATCATGAGGGGTGATCATCCCAGTATTTTGTTGCGGCTTAGGGTCCCACTCAGTATACGTGGCAAGAAAGTATAATGCATCAGTACAATTTCGAAAACACGTTTCAAAAGCTCGGAGCATCTGGGCCCGCAAAAGAGTGATCATCGTATCAACCAAGAGGCGAAGCAATTACGGGACAGGTGGGTGTGGAGCCAATAGGAGGGGGTGTTCAGCCTGACTGACACGTGTATGTGGACTGGCGGATAGGATCATAAATACAACCGTCGAGAACGACAAAATCCAAAGCCCACACAAAGCAGAGAGAGCAAAGAAACGGCACTCCCAGACTCCGACAAAAAACATGCCGTCACGCGTTTTCCGCTAAATGACAAAACACGTGTCGTCCCCGTGGCTTCTTTGGAGTTTTGTGGAGTTGTGAGGGTACTTTTGTCTATGGGTCTTGGGTTTGGCAAAAAAGAGTCGGACGGAACCTTTTGTCGCTACGTGCCTTAGCGTCCACCGCACGCTGGAAAACTATCGTCCTTTTTCGTTATTATTTGTTATACATATATTTAGAGATATAATAATTTATTTAATATAAATTAAATTCTCAATTTATAAAAATATAATATTTATTTATTTTAATTCAATAACACAAATTTAATTCCAATATTTTAATTCAATAACACAATATTAATCCCAAATATTTTTCTCACTCAAAAATTCATTTTTCTTTATACCAATTTCAATGTAATACAAGTCAACTAACATACTTTTCGATGCTAAATAACTCTACTAATAAGAGATTTATTCCTTGAGGTCAGATTATGATAGGAGAATAAATTAGTTGAGATGCGCATAAATTAGAACGGACACCCCTGATCTTTGAACTAAAAAAAAAAATTAAACAGTTCCACTAATCTACACTTACCCCTCTCTTTTCTCTCTCCTACATTTCTTTTATTTTCTCTTTATTCACTTTGATATTTGATCCTAATTTTTTTTTCACAAAAAAGATCATTTTTTTTTCATTGTTCTTGATGTTGGACAATTCAATTAACATACTCATTAATGTCAAACACTAAGAGGTTGAATTAGTGGTAGTGTAGATAATACTCAAACACAACATAATAATGATCTACATCATTTAGATTTGATGACTTATATCTTAATCTTTTAATTCTAGACTAAAACTTGTGAAAAATATAATCGAATTATTAAGCCAATTTGGTTTAACTAATAAAAAAATGATTAAGAAAACAAAATTGATGAGTTAGTTATGAATATAATGATAATAATGAGTTAGTTATGAATATAACGAGTTAGTTATGAAAATTGATGAGTTAGTGATGAGTTAGTTATTTTTGAGTTTACGTTAAAGTCTTTAGATACGTATATATATTTTTTGTTTTCCAATAATAAGGGACAAAACAATAGATTAAATAGAGCAGGCACTTATTTGAAATTTAACAAAATATGCTCATTAATCCCACAGGTTGCAAAAATACACTTATAAACACATATGTTCATGATCTCTTTTTTTTTTTTTTTCAACGGTCAGGATGCTTAGGTCAGTTGACGTGTACCTTGATTAATCCCCTTTTCAATTCGGTCATAAACATACCATCTACGCTGAGATTAAAGTATTCAAGAATAATAAAATTCTTTATGACCTAACTTCAATAGATTGTCAAAATTTAAATTTAGAACGTCAGGATTTATAATTCGTCCGTATTAATAGATGTTCATGACATCTATTAACAATCATTTTTCAAATATATAGATTATATATTATTTACGATGGTTCCTTTATTGGAAAAAGAAAGAACTTAGACAATGTAAAATGAGAAAACCTAAAGAGCCAAAAGAGGACAATAACATGCTGCATTGTTTCTTTGAAAGTGGTTACCATTTGTTTTCTTTTGCTTAACATTTGCGAGGAAGAACTGTTCAAGATAATAATGCATGTAAAATATTTTTTTGTATACAATCTCCATAATTCAATAATTATCTATGCATACATATAGAAAACTAGGAATACTTTCGTGTATAAAAATACTTCATAATATTAAAACAACAATGTTATACACGTAATTTTTTTACATCATCTTTCTGCACCACCATCTTAACATTGACCTTTGACCATTAAATTAATAGGTTTTATAGAGTTTATTAAATATTCAATAAATTTAATTGTGTCACATTAGGTGGTGTTCACCATATTATTCATACTAAAAATCAAGTATTGATTAGGTAATATTTATTTTTAATAATTTTAAAATGAATAGAGAGAAGATAAGAAATAAATAGATGTGAATTATTGGGGTTGTCTGTATTAAAGAGTGTGTTAATTGAATTATTTGACATTAGGTGTTATGCAGAGTGCATAGTATTTGTAAGTGAAAAAAAAAAATTGGAATGAATTATATATAATTGAATCAACTTAAATGAAAATTAAATAAATCTTGACTGTTATATTTTTATAAGTTAAAATTTTAACTTTATATAATTATAATATTATATCAATATATTTATTAGTGATGTTTTATTATTATGTAATAAGGATATTTTTTCAATGAAAACCTATGAGCCTAACATTATGGGGGTAAAAAACAGAAAATTTGTATAAGCGTGATATTGGATATTTACTGTTGGGTGAAAAACAGAGTTGTATATAAAGACAAAATAATGTGGATGTGGGTGTGGGTGTGAATTCATGGACTTAACTAAAGTTGGTTTGGCTTTAGCTGTAAATAGCTTTTTATTATTTAATCGAAACAATTGGAGAGCAATGGCAGAATTAGAGTTAAAAAATAAACATAAACATAAAAATTAGAGTTTTATTATATATGGTGGGACCTACTAAACAGTTTAATTCAGCCGCCTGCTTTGTCGTCTCTCTCGTCTCCGTCCACCACCGTCGTTCTTTGCGTTTAACTCCACGCCTCTCTCTCTCTCTCTCTCTCCACTCTCTCTCTCCCTAGCCTCGTCTTATCATACCTCCTCCTCCCCTCTCTCTCTTTCTCTTAATTTCGTTCTTTGGTTCTGTCTCTCTCGCTTTTGTGTTGTGTTTAGATCTTCTTCTGTGTCTAGGTGTCTTCTGTTTTATATTTCGGAGTGTCTCTTCTTGTTCAACCCTTCAACGAAGAATCAAAAGACAAGCCCACACAGAGCACAGACTTCGATCTTTCTCGTCTCTGAAGCGTTATGAGTGATCAAAGACTGATTTTTTTGAAGATCAGTGTGACCTTTTAAGTTTTGAAAGGCCAAACCTTTGAAGATAGATCATGGCTGGTAGTAATGAAGTTAGGGTAAATGAATCCAAGGTGTTATTCTCATCCTTTTCTGGCCATCTTCTCCTTAATATTTCTAAAATTCTTGCACATGTATGGACCATATCCAGATTAATTCGGACATTCTGTAATGATTTGGTTTATGGGTTTACCTGAATTCTCCTCCTTTTATATTTCCGTTACTGGTATGAGTTTGCTGTCCAAGAAACTTGAAGATAAAGTCTGATTTGGGGCAAAAGACTGAAGGTTTCTTGAATTTGGAGGGTTGGAGTTATCTTTAAATCTCTATTTAAGCTAATTACCCTGTTTATTGTCTCTTTCGTCCTAATTTTGGAGCCTCACTTGTATGATCGTTTGCTTATCTATTCTGTTATTTTGGGGTTCTTTGTCAACTATTTTTTGATTTATGTTCTGGGTATGCTTCAATTTTTCCAAATTATCTTATCCCATGTATCTATGTCTTTTGTGTAGAGGGTGGTTCCACTGAATACATGGATCCTTATATCCAATTTCAAGCTAGCTTACAACATGCTTCGCCGACCTGATGGTACATTCAACCGAGATTTGGCCGAATTTCTCGACCGTAAAGTCCCCGCCAACACGATTCCGGTCGATAAGGTTTACTCTTTTGATGTAGTTGATCGAGCCACAAGCCTTCTAAACCGTGTTTACAGGCCAGCCCCTGAAAACGAGGCTCAATGGGGCATTGTAGAGCTTGAAAAACCCTTGAGCACCACTGAAATTGTCCCCGTCATAATTTTCTTCCATGGCGGAAGCTTTACACATTCCTCTGCCAATAGTGCCATCTACGATACATTTTGCCGTCGCCTTGTTAGCAATTGCAAGGCTGTTGTGGTGTCTGTGAATTACCGGCGATCGCCCGAACACCGATACCCTTGTGCATATGATGATGGATGGGCAGCTCTTAAATGGGTTCACTCAAGATCATGGCTTCAGAGTGGGAAAGATTCTAAAGTTTATGCGTACTTGGCTGGAGATAGTTCTGGTGGTAATATTGCTCATCATGTTGCTGTGAGGGCTGCTGAATCGGGAGTTGAGGTATTAGGCAATATACTACTTCATCCAATGTTTGGCGGAGAAATCAGAACGGAATCGGAGAAAAAATTGGATGGTAAATATTTTGTGACAGTTCAAGACAGAGATTGGTACTGGAGAGCATATCTACCCGAAGGGGACGATAGAGACCATCCGGCGTGTAATATATTTGGTCCCAGAGGCATAAGTCTTGAAGGACTAAAGTTTCCAAAAAGTCTTGTTGTTGTGGCTGGCTTGGATCTTGCTCAGGATTGGCAATTAGCTTATGTTGATGGACTCGGAAAATCGGGGAAAGAGGTAAAACTCTTGTACCTAAAGCAAGCGACGATTGGGTTCTACTTCTTGCCGAACAATGAACATTTCTATTGCCTCATGGACGAGATTAAGAACTTCGTGAATTCTAACTGTTAATAGATTACTTACCTTCAACTACAGGCAGCCATACATAACAGAAGCTTGACAATTCACTGGGGTTCTTTTCTTTTCTTTTGTTTATTCCCTCCTTTTGTAGTGATGGTGTGTAGTTATATGGTTGTGTAATATTGTTCCTTCTTACTGTTTTTGTCAATTGTGGTGGCGGTATGACAGTCGTGCACCTTAGGGGACTGGTTTTTCCTCCGTCTGAAGATGATTTCCTGTCCTCTTGGTGGAAAAGATTACCCCAAGTAGAAAGGTCGGTTCGGTTGAATCATAACTTAATTATGGATTTCGCTGAAGAACTTAATTTTTCAGGCTTACCCCGCCAAAACTCCGGCCATGGAGGAGGAGGTCATATGACAATGGGGTTGGTTTTTGGTGGTTGGTCAGGTGGTTCCAGTGCATTGACTACCATCAAGAAAGCTAATTTCAGAACATGGATCAGCAATGCTAGGAATGCTATTGTGATCATGTGTGTTATACTGTTTCTCTAAAATATATAAAGATTTTGTTGGGTTATTTCTCACTTGGATCTCTCCTTTCTGATGGAATGGACTTTTCTTTCTACTTCTGCTAATATTGATTTTCTCAGCATCTGAACTTGCATATTGTAAAACAAAAATTATAGTGCAGCTATAACCTTTTAAGAAACTCGAGGTTGCTCAGAATATTTTTCTGTCTCGGGCTTCGGTAGAAATCTAACGATCAAACACTGCAAAAAGATGAAGGGAAAATTGAGTAAGATGTCGGAGAAGCGAAAATACGAGAGCACGCAAATTACTCGCAGTTAAATATGAATTGAGACGAAAGTTTTATAAAGTCTTTTGGAAAATCCCGATCTTCCTGGTGATTGCACTAGCGTCCCTGGTAAGCCCTCCGGAACCGGCCAACGTTTGTGGAAAATTGGGTCAATAGGTCCTTGAGCCATCCGACCGTATTTGTGGATAACAAGGCCACTTTCGCAACCTTTTCCCTTCTGCCCTTATGTCCTTTTTTTTTTTTTCAAATCTTTAGATTTTGAGGAATGTATTGGCAAATTGTTATTATCTCAGTGAGTCCAATTCTGTCTCAATTCTCTGTACACAGCAATGCTGCAGCCCAAGTGAATGTCAAATTAGATGTGTGTATGCAAATTTGGCTACACTAACCCTTTAAATATGGCTTTTATACGATTCAATACAAATTTGATATGACGCGAATTTAAAGTATATATGACTTAAATTGGACTTGATTCCCATCTTTCAGAATTATGAAACGTTAAAGATCTGGTTTTTCAATGGCAGCTGGTGTGTCCATTTTGAGCATAAAAAGTAAGTGATGAAGAATCCTTGTACTAATCGTCTTCTGGGCTGCGTGTTACGTGGTGGACCGTGGAGTCCGGTGGTCACCCATAAAGCCGAAGCCAAACCCCATCCACCAAAAACATTTTCGCAAAAGAGTGATTGGACAGAGTCAGAAACATGGTTCTCTCGCCATCTGTCGACGTTGATTTGATTAAATTCTTGTCAGCTCTTGATTGCTTGTTCGTTGTGCGTAGTTTGGAGTCTGGATAGCAGTGAAAGACAGCAATTGGCTTTGTTTGGATGGAGGGAAACTCATCTTCTAGTGGGTTCCACTTTTGGATCTATCTCATTTCTGAGGGACCACACTTTGAGGAAAATCTCTCTCTCTCTCTCTCTCAAGCTGTTGGGTTGGGATTGATTTTGAAGTATTCAATGGCCACTAAAGGGTAAAAACAGCTAAGGTTGGAAAAGGACACCAAACCCTTGTTTAAATTGACTTTATGGGTCTTTAATTGCTTAAAATATATGCTTAATTTTAACTCTATATCACCAATATAATCAGTTTGGTTGGTTTGATTATTAAATATTTGTTATGGCTTTTTCTTGTCTTATTGTCAAATTTTCTAGTACAGATTATCAGCTGGTTTGGTGTTTGAATATGTTGTTTAGTGGGACAATGTGAAGTCATTATCATCGAACGGCGTTTGTTTAACACAGATTATGGACAAATTTTGTTAAGTTGTTTGTCAGCATTTTGCATTAATCTATTTTTGGTAGGTTGTTTGCGGCAGCTTCCCTGTTCACACTCAGTCCTTACTCCTTATTGTGTGCCGTCCACTGATTTTGATCATATTTAAAAGCTGGAATGAGAATAAATACGCTACGCCTCTCTGGGTTATTGCTTTACTTTTTGGCTTATTTTGTGTTTTAAATTTCTTTGCGTGTATAATATATATATATATATATTTTTTTTGGTCAGATTGCGTGTATAAATAGAGTTCTAAGTTTATTCGAAGCTAATGTTGACTTTCATATGGTCAAAAGTATAAAAAATCCAAATTAATGGGAGTATGAATATCTTAGAAATCACAAGAAGGTATTTTCCTGTCCAAAATCTAGCTACAAATAAATTTTTGGGTAGATTACATTCACACCTCATGACATTTGATTTTATTACACATACATCCTCTCATATTTTAAAAAGTACACTGAAACCCCTTGACAGTTGAACAGGTGTAACAATCGTACCCCTGTTGTCTAACAGACGTTAGCAATTTTATTAAAAAGACTTTTTAACCCTCATATATCCTTGAAATTTATCAATGTCCATATCCAATCTATCCAACTTAGGAGTGCAACTTAGGTGGGTTAACCCAAATTCAACTCGAGCTTATCCCAAAAAATTGGGCGTGAATTAGAATTTTTAATACTTGGGTTGAGCTTGGGCGAAAAAACCTCAACTCGAATTGAATTTGGGCAAAAATCGGATTGAGGCCTCGGGTTGTCTGGTTCAACCCGAATATTAAAATCGGATTGAACTCGAATATACATAAATATATAAATATATTTAATAAGGATTATTATTTATCTTCACTCTTCAAAGTCCAGACTTTCACTTCAACTCAAATCTTCACCCCTGCGCCTTCACTACTTTCAGATCCCTCTCTCACTTGTCACTCGTCTCTCATCTAGTTTCAGACTCTCAGCCTCCCTCTCTCCCTAGTCTGAGTCTTGTGTCAAACTCTCAATCTCCCTTTCTCACTCGTCACTTTTCCTTCTTTTATCAACCCAAATTAAGTAACTTGAGCTCAACTCAATTTTTAACCCGAAAATAGCACAAATTAAGTAACTTAAATGCAATCCAATCCTGCCCGAATTAAACCCGGGTAATACTTGGGTTGAGTAATTCAGGTTGAGGTAGAGTTAGAGTTAGAGTTGAAGATAATATACCTAGAGTTGAACTCTTAACCTGCCGAACCCACTCGAGTTGCACCCTTAATCCAACTCACCCTTCTATTTGACTAAGTCAAAATAAATAAATTGAAAAAAAATTAATGTTTCTTATGTGTCAGTTAGCTTACCATTATCCTCATGAATGTGATGGTGGTGGTGGTTGTGATGGTCATGGTCATGGTGGTGATGATCATTGTGGTGGTGGTATGAGAATCGGTGGACTTGGAGTGGTAGATGACGTACCACAGATAAGTACAACTGTGGGTAGAGAAGGGTTTCAGATGTTAGAAAGATAAGAGAGTTTGATACTGGGGATTTGGCCTGAAAGAGTTGACTCTTATTCTTCTTCAACTTCTGCAAGTAGTGGAGGCAAGAGGAAGACGCAAAGTTTCCATGGTTGTAGATTGAGAAGAACTTACAAGTTTCAAACCATTGATCCCCCAAGGGCCAAGGTTGGGTACGAAGTCATTGATCCCTTCTAGTGCGATGTCGATGGTTGGAAGTGGTGGATAGCTAAGGTATGCAGTTTGCAGTGAGCTAGCTGTGGAGGAGATGAGTTCGATTTTTGGGTTTGGCAATGGGGGCTTGTGATGGTGGGAGTGGCGGTGGTTGCGGTGAGGTAACATTTGAGATTGTTAAACTAGTGTGGTGGGAGTTACGGTGAGGTAACAGTGGTTGGTGATTGTGGGTGACAGACATTTGTAGGATGTGGTGGTGGTGTTAAGGCATAATTTTAGTAAGATAAATTTGGTATAATCATTGAAATTTGATAAACATTATTGTTAATTCAAAATAATTAAATATATTGACCAAAACCAAAAAAAAATTAACTTAATATCGAAAAGATAAGATTGAATTTAATGACAAAATCATAAGGTTTAATTTGAATTAGGTGTTAAATTTGTTAAATTATTAATTTTAATTTGGATTAGGTGCTAAATTTGCTTTAGTATTAAGTTTAATTTGATTTAGGTGTTAAATTTATTTAATTAGGGTATGATTTGTAATTTAATTTGCTTTGAGTTTTTTTTCAATGTTCGTCTAATAAAAAATCAAATGTCAGAGAATGAGTGTAATTTATCTTTTTCTTTTTTCAACTTGAAATGGAGGATATTATTGTCATTTTTTCACTTTTGTTAACCACATCCATTATTTGACTGAATTTGGGGTCTTAGTGTAATTTTTGAAATGTGAGAGGGTATCCATGTAATAAAATTAAATGTCAAGGGGTGTGAGTGTAATTTATCCTAAATTTTTTGAACTTCAAGGATAGTTTAAATTGTAACAAAAACAATCTACGTTTTGAGTTCGAATCTTAGGAACCCACTGGCAGGACCATGAGAGATTTATCTCTCGTGAATATTTTAGTCTCGACGTGGATGGTCTAGCTTTGACCGAACCGAAAAGAGGATTAGTCAAGGTACATATAAGTTGGTCCGCACAGCCTTAACCATTGAACTAAAAAAAATTAATTTTTTTGTGCTGCAGGTTATGTCGGATACAAAAAAATATAACTGTGATATAGATTGGCATGCACATAAGAGGGTGGAGGTGAATTAGTGGTAAGAGCTTAGTTGTTGAACACTGATCCAAATACTGTTTGTACATGGCTAGATTTGGCTAGCGCCTGTGACGCACTATGCATACAATATGAATAGTTAATTATCTAGAGTACCAATTGTAGGTCATCAGTTTCTTGTTGAGCTTAAACTGCCCCTTTCAAATTATGAAATATCTCTGGTATAACATCTTCCTCCAATTTCTACTGGGCTGATTAAACTTCGTCTGCTGCTTCATCTTTGATGTTTCCATGGTTAAGAGTATAAGCCGAAATATTCTATTCTGACATCGTTCCACATCTTGTGTGAATCACGATTCTCACACGATTTTGTCGAGTCATCTGAGACATCTACGAGTCAATTTTGAATCACTCGCCGTGTTATCGTCACCAAACTGAACATCATGCTCAACTTTTTTTATCAATCATTTCCTAAGAATCACTTGATGTGGTCTGTGGCATGGCAACCAACGAATCTCATAGTCCTCTGATTCGATGACTTGATACAAAGTTACAACAATTGTGAACCATGGATACTTGAGACAAATAACCTCAATCAATTCTTATTTAATTTTTTATTTTTTGGAGCATAGGAAAATGTCATCACATCAAACATTGATCTTCTTTTCACTCTGTTAATATGTTGCTGGCTCAAATGAGTCTCATTTCTTGTGTACTGTCGTCTAAGCTCTTTGTAGAAAGAGTATATGCTCAGCATATTTCCATGTGCATGTGAATCTACAGTTTGTTTTCACGTGGCAATGGAGGTCTCAAGAAGTATGAAAAACGGGGCTAGTCCATAAAAGCAGGTAAAAAAACGCAATATGGTCCTATAGAACAAACCGCACAGGACAATACTCAAGAGTTTAAATGAAATCTGCCATTAGTTCCACAAAGTCCAAGCAAAAAATGGTCATTTGCTGTTTGTCCCCTATTGTTTGGGATACCTTGGGCTGCAGGCTCTGGGTTACGCTTTTTCAGCGTGGTCGGCTGGATAGCTCTATATGGTTGATAGAGTAACTTCAAGAGGCTCAATAAACTGATCTTGATCTTGTTAGCTATTTGACATAGTCAGGCCATAGAACTGACTAGCTATTGCACTATGTATTTTCCATAGCCTCAATTTGGTTAGCTATCCTTGGTGAGGCAAAGCAGTTCGGTAGTCTGTTTTTTGCGCCAACAACATAATCTACTCCACAGACTGAAGGCTTCAGCAAGTATGGTCTCTCTCTCTCTCAGAAACAGATACGCCTCCTCTTCCTCTGTTCCTTCTTCTCTTCTCCTTTCTTCACCCTCTCCTCTCACTAACGCTCCTGACATTCCACCATTACCTTCATCCCCTCTGAACTGTTTTCTATCTCTCCTCTTTGTTTCTGTGAAGCAAAGGACCTCATTGGCGACAAAGAACAACGTAGATCAGCTCAAATCTAACGTTAGCAACCAATCTCAAGTAATGTTTGATTCTATTTACCGACCCACTGTAATCGGCCAGTTGGAATGCATTCTACCTGTTTGTTGGATTTCCTGTGAACATTCGGTTATTGTGACATGTTTGTTGGATTTCTTGTGTATTGATCTGTATGGTCGCTCTCTCTCTCTCTCTCTCTCACATAGAATGGGGAAGACGATGAGTTAATTAAAATTCAGCAAACACCCCTCCAAAATCCCTTAAAACCCATCCCAAAATCTTATAATTGATTAAATTTTTATGATATTTATTCTTGTAGCCTATAATTGATTAAATTTATACAATGTATAGTTAAATTGCTATTTTTTGAATTTTAGTAGTTAAAATTAGTTGAAGTGTTTAGTTAAAATAGATAGTGTTGTTTGAATTTGAAAAATGATTAGCTAAAGTAGATAATACAATATTTAAATATATTTTGAGTAACTATTTTAGATAGCATTGTTAGAGTTGCTCTAAGACATTATGACTAGGACTTTCAAAATATGGCACCATCGATTAAGAGTATGTTCAATAAGGATTTAAAAGTGCATTTTTTTTCTATTTTAACTACTCATTTTTTTAATACATACTTCAATAGATTTTTTATATTTTAACTATTTCTTTTAAATATTATTTTTCATATACCTTTGTTGGAACTATTAAAAGGGGAGAGAAAAAATAGAAGAAAAGACAACAAAAGTGAAAAATGACAAGAGGAGAGAGGATATATTATAAATTATTCATACATAAT